CCTGTGTTTGCGTACAAGTCTGTGCCTCCTGGGTGCCACAACTCCAACAGGTGCGCGGCCAGAGCCCTGGAATGCTTGCCCTGCAAAGCTGGGGGGAGCTTCGGGATGAAGTGAGAGTAGTGGAACAGAGAATTCTGTTTCGTGGATATTTTTTTTCTTAGAGGAGATCCCAGATGGGACTTCTGTGCCCTGATGTCTTAGTGGAAACAGCTCTTTGCTTTTCACTTGCATGCTCTCTCATACCCCTTCTCCTCTCGAGGGTCAAAGGTTTGTGCTCCTCCCTCCTAGCAAGTTCTTCTGCAAGCTCCTCAGGCTGAGGAGGACTTCTGGTGGGTATACCACATCAGTTCCTCAGTCAAGTCCAAATCTTGTCATCTCACTTTGACTCATGATGGGACACTGATATCCACCTATCTCACTGTCTCACCTCCTCCGTCAACAGTTAAGTTGCACACCCCTGTTCATATCCCTCCCTCCCTTTTGAGAACCACCTTCTATAGGAACTCCACACTTCTAAACCTTTTTTTAAAAAAAGATTTTATTTATTTATTTGAGAGAGAGAGAGAGCAGGAGCAGGTGAGGGGCAAAGGGAGAGGGAGAAGCAGACTCTCCTCTGGGTGCAGAGCTAGACTCCCGAGCTCGATCTCAGGACCCAGACATTATGACCTGAGCCGAAGGGAGACCCCTAACCGACTGAGCCACCCAGGCGTCCCAGTTCTAAACTTTTCTAGTTTAGGGCACCTGGCTGGCTCAGTCAGTATAGCAGGCAACTCTTGATCTCAGGGTTGTGAGTTTGAGCCCCACTGAGCATAGAGATTACTAAAAAAATACAACAAACAAACATTTTTAGTTGAATGACTTCATTCTGTCCCCCAAGCAGCACAACTTTAAGCTTACGGAGGGCAGGGATCTTCCTTTAAAAATCTTGTGTCTTCTTCTACCACTGGAGCCGAGGGTTCTGTTGATATCTGATTGACTGAATAGGACATGTACAGGCAGCTTCTCTTCGTTAATGATAAACAAATAACCCCTCTCTCCCCCACAAAATAAAAAATAGTAGACTTCCAAATAAATAACCAAAATTTCCAACCTCCATTTTTTTTTTTAAGATTTTTTTTTTTTAAGTAATGTCTGCACCCAACGTGGGGCTCTAACTTATAACCCCGAAATCAAGATCTTGGGATCATGAGATGGAGCCCTACAATGCTTCTGTCCTCAGCGAGGAGTCTGCTTGTCCCCCTCCCCCTCTGCCCCACCCCCCCTTCTCGAGGGTGCACTCTCTCTCATATAAATACATACATACATACATACATACATACATACATAAATAAAACCTTTTTAAAAAAATTTTATGTTAAGAAAAAAAAAAGAAGAAGAAGAAGGTAGCGGGAGGGGAAGAATGAAGCGGGGGAAATCGGAGGGGTGGACGAACCATGAGAGACGATGGACTCTGAAAAACAAACTGAGGGTTCTAGAGGGGAGGGGGGTGGGAGGATGGGTTGGCCTGGTGGTGGGTATTGAGGAGGGCACGTTCTGCATGGAGCACTGGGTGTTGTGCACGAACAATGAATCATGGAACTCTTCATCTAGAACTAATGATGTAATGTATGGGGATTAACATAAGAATAAAAAAAAAATTTTAAAAAGAGTCACATGCTCTACCAGGTGAGCCAGCTAGGCGCCCCCCATCTTCTGCCTTCCACATGGAGGTGACACAGAGTAAGACACAACAAAAGAATATTTAAACCATTTGGAAAGTCCTAACAGACTTTATTTATTTGATTTGGTGAATTCCTTTGTCACAAACCAAGTCTTTATTTGCACGCATCCTGCAGAGAGCTGCTGTATGCAATATTGCATACACTCAAGTTCACATGCGCTAGTTGATTGTTGTTTTGACAATGAACAACGGCCAATGAGGCCAAGATCAGAAGGTTGGCTCTCCCCTGGGTCAATTCCCTTCATGGAGAGAAACTCTTCCACAGTCAAAGCCAGGCCCTATTTAACCTCTGCCCTCCACCCTCTAATTAATCATCTGACCAATATATTAATTTAGCTGAAGGGACAACTGCATAATTTCTAACAAAACGTTTGTGCCTGAATCATGTATACTTTGTTTCAACTGACACTATTGTCTTTAACAATGAAGAGCATTTTTCATCTTATTTGAGTATCAGTGGAATAATCAAAACATACTATAATAATTGAAGAATATGAAAAAACAGTCTGAATGAAAGGGTTGTCTCAACTAATATTTATTAGGTACCTACTGTTTGTGCTAGGTACCCATTATATATGTCACATTGAGCAATGACTTAACCAGAGATTTAAGAAGAGAGGGAGGTGGGGTACTTGGGTAGCTCAGTTGGTTAAACATCTGAGTCTTGATCTCACAGTAATGAGTTCAAGCTCCACATTGGGCATGGAGCTTACTTTACAAAAAAAAAGAAAAGACAAAAAAGGGAAGGAGGTGGATTGTGGTGCTGGAAGAAAATTTAGCCCATCAGATTTATTTTGGAGAAAAGGAAACTGAGGTCCAGAGAGTTTGTTCTGCCTCAAGCAATGAAACAAGCTAAAAGCAGAGTTGGTATTAGAGCTCTGGGGTGACAAGCAAAGTCAAAATAGCAAGGGTAAAGATATTGTGCAATAATAGATTTGGACATTGTCTGATTTAAGAGAATGGTGTTAGTAATCTTCATTTAACTAGTTATGTTTTTTTCTATCAAGTTTTATACTATCAGTTTTTATTGTATTGTCACTACTTTCATTAGAAGTTTTATGAGGCAGGGCGCCTGGGTGGCTCAGTCGTTAAGCGGCTGCCTTCAGCTCAGATCATGATCCCAGGACTCCGGGATCACGACCTGAGCCGAAGGCAGATGCCCAACGACTGGGCCACCCAGGCGCCCCAATATGATAGAGTTTTTAAATGATAAAAGTAATAGACTATTAGAGAAAGTTTAGGAAAAAAAGAAGAGATGTATCACATAAAGGGTCCAGCATACACCACTGTGGCATAAAAATTATTTTGAGCAGAAGGCATTTGACATCCCCAAATAACTCAATTGTCATAAAGCCCTTCCTGAAAAGCAACCAGGGAAGACTGACTCCTCACCAGAGGCAAGAAGTCTACACACCACACCTAAAGAGACAACAGTCACATCTATTCTTTTAAGGGCCTATCTTTCTAAAAAGTCATTTGTTTTCCCATAAGTGGCCTTTCTTCCCTTCCCCTTTCTTTATTAAGATGATATATAAACCCCAAATTCTAACCGTCTCTTTGAGTCACATTTTTCTCTGAACTCCTCTATAAATGTTAATACAAATATGTAATTAAATTTGATATTTTTTCTTACTAATCTGTCTCTAGTAAGTTTAATTCACAGTGTCTCAGAACTGAACCTAAGAGGATAGAGGGAAAGTTTTCTCTCCCTAACATACCATCAGCTCACCATCAGCACATCATCACATCATAAACTCAATTTTGGCTTAACACAACTATTTCAATTTTTCATACTTTCTTCAGTTTTCTCAGCTGCATTTACTTTTTACTAATTATTATCATTGTTAATATTATAAGCATCCATTCATGATGCAACATAATCCTCCAAATTATGATTTCCTGATGACTGCAAAATATTTCAGTGAGATGATATATAAGAAGTTCCTTAACTAGCCTCTTATCATTGGATATTTGCTTCTGATTTTTAAAAAATTATAAATAATTTTGAAAAAAAAAATGTTGAGCATAAAGCTTTTCTCCTTTCAAAATTACTTCCATGGGTTATCTCCGACTGCTGTGGTCTTCGAAAAGGGAATGTTGACTTAAATATCCATCTCTGACAGATGACAATTAGTAGTAAAGTAACACAGAAAATATGTGACATTCTGTTATAAATTAAATGCCTAAAGTCTCAGGTAGAAGTCATAAAGGCCATGAAAAAACTTAAAAGGCATTTAGCATTTAGTGTCTGGAAGATGTGCAAATGTGATGAGAATTTATTCAGTAAGAGGAATTACTTGAACTAGAGACCTGGAGAAAGGTCTCTCGGCCTTTTTTTTTTCTTCCCCCCACAAAACAAACAAAAAATAGTGGTGGATTCATTGAGCAACAAGTTTGTGGAAGCTTGGACAAGAGTTTGTTTTAAGTGAAAATGGCCAATCTGAAAGAATAATTGCTGGTGAAAAGTTATCAACTTTTCATTCGGTTTTCATTAGCTTTCACTTGGAGGGAAGGATCAATTATTAGACAGAAAGCAATTGGTGCTCACAGTTATCTGCCTCCCAAAAGAACAATCAAGTTCGCTGAACCTTTTCTCCCAGCGATTTCCTTGCATTTAGCCATTTGTCCTTCATTAGGGGAGCCCAGGTACCAATTATTCTCACAGGCAATTGATTATGAGATTTCAAAAATGCAGCAACAACAAAGAAATGTTTGCTTTGACAAACCACAAGCTATTCATCTTTAAAAGACAGGGAAAAAACCAACCAAACCACATTACAGCTCCATTTAGAACTTTTCCTCTACCTTGTCATCTAAGGAGGGCAAAATCAATTTTCATTTGAGAGCACCATTTCCTCCTACCAGTTTTCTCTAAGTGGCCTTTCCACAAATGATGTTTGATTATTTCTGAGTCACAACTACTTAAAGGCCACATTTATGAGCTGTAATTTCCTAGGTAAAAGCCGAGGGAATTACTGAAAGTTCTTTGTGCCCTCCCCCTCTCCCCCCAGCAACATCCTCATGTTCTCTCTTTCGGTGTTTGAGGTTTTAATATGCAGCTGTAGCAAGCCCGGGAATGACCTTCCCTAAACGCTCTGACAGGACTAAAAATATGAATCTGCACACAGAGCTTTCCCTAAACTATCAGGAGTCCTTTTTCTTGTTTGCCAGCTGGTAGTTTGTCAAAATACTGTTTTGTAAATAAATCACCTGCAGAAAATCCTCATCAGGTCAGCCGCAAATGTGTCCGTCTAAGGAAAACAAACAAGAAAGCACTTACCAGTTAATTTACTTTGAGGAGAGAAGCTATTTTGATGCCTGGGTGTGACCTCCCGGCTCCAGAATGAAATGGAGGGTGGTTTTCAGAACGGCTACGTTGGACACTTTTTCCCAGCTTCCTCATCTGGCTTTTATCTGGCTTTTGAAATGACACTGTAGAAGGAGAGTGATGTTGGGTTTCGTTTGAATGTGGTTCTTCCCTTCCTCCACCACCCTCCATAAAAATTCATCATGTATTCCAGGAGAAAAGTAAGCAATGAACATACTGCACAAATTAATTCTTTTGCTCAGCGTGGATGTGTGTATAACTGAGGTTTGTGTTTTGAATGGAAATCTTTGCTATTGGCTGCAGTACCGCAGGCTGAGAAGTGAAGGGGGGGGACTGATCCTTCCTTTGTTTGGTGGGCTTTTGCTTATGAAAAGTCAAGTTAAATTTCTTTCCAACGAGGGAATGAAAAGAACCTTAGAATGTCAAAGGAGAGCTCTTCAATTGCACAGCAAACTCTGTGGAGCTCATTAGGAGAGAGAATTCACTCACTGGGTTTCAGTGTGTTTCTGAGAGTGAAGAATGGTAATCACACATTAATTATGTGTTTTAGTTTTCATTTCTTTGCCTAGATAGGTTGAGAGAGAACTCCCTAGGATCTGAGGCAATTAAAGGATTGATTTTTTTTTTTTTTTAATCCCTCATCTCCTTCTGGGGTTCTGGCAGATGTGAGCACATCTGTGCTTCTGAGGCAGGGCTCAGAATTCAGAAATTCACAGGATGAGAAACATGGAGGCTGAAGGTAAACAAGCCTTGATGTGGTTAGCTTCTCGCTGCAGAGCTAACTTGATTTTTGTAAGCTCTAACATCAGCTCTATCATGTGATATTGGAAATTGAACATTATTAGGTCATAAAACATTGTTAGGCCGGCTAATTGAACATCGTTAGGTGAGCTGCCAGAGAAGCAAACGATTTTGTATTTGACTGGAGGGTAGCTGAATATGCCACCCCAAAATATGCCTCTTCAACATAACGATTATTTTGAGCTGATTATTTCTAAGAAACTGCAGACACAGAACAAGCTCTGAAAACAGAATAGAAGTTACCCTTTTGTGAGGGAAATCTATATTTATAAAGGGAATTTACATTAGAAAGGGGGCCTGTATCAGGAAGGGAGCTATTACCAGAGATGACTTTTTCACCTGGGAGACTTAGCTGCTCGGCCAGGCAACCTTTGTTTACCAAACATTTCCTCTTCTCACCTTCCCGTGAATTGCCTTCTGGTGAATGGCCTTCCCCGGCTTTCAGGCCCAGACCCCTATCCCTTTCCTTAGTTCTGGATGGTACATAATCCTCCATCTTCTGGGCTTCTGAGTCTGATATTCTAGTGGGGCTCCTGTACTTATGTAATTAAAATAGGTTTTTTTTCCTCCTCCTGTTAATCTTTTGCTGTTGTTGTTTAACAGGAGGGCGTCTTAGCCAAGAACAGAGAAAGGTAGAGGGAAAATTATTTTCCTCCCCTACAAGACCAAGTCTAGAAAATCTAAAGCAGTCATTCTCGTGTGGGTGTGGGGTGGGCTGGGGTGGGAGCATATCAGAATAACCCACACCTTTTCAAAATACAAATATCCCTCAGCCCCATAAGGATGTACACTCTCCCGCATTTGCCCCCTATCCCTTGACTCCACAGAAAATAACCACAATTAACAATCTTTGCATATTTCTTTTCAGTATTATCTGAACATAGAGATGGTCATTGAAGGAGGTAGTAGCAGAGTGCTCTGTGGGAGATTCCTGTCTGCTCACCAGTTCCTACTCCTTTGCATCAGCAATATTACTATTTGTTAATAATCATGTAATCGGGG